TAAATTGCTACAGTTGTATATGTTTTCACATCTGCTACTGCAAATCTTCTAGATTTGTTCTTTTTCAAAATTGCCTTTGTTATTCTTGGTACTCTGTATTTCTTTATCAATTTTATAATGAGCTTGCTAACATCTTAAAAAAATTGGTACTCTGACTGGACTTTTCTTATTTTTCAGCATTTGTATTGGAAGTACATAATTTCACCTTTAAATATCACTTCAGCTATCTTTCATAAATTGAAAATAGAATTTTTATTTTTATTCAGTTCTAAATACATTATAATTTTTATTCTGATTCTAATTTCTGAATTACTGAGAATTACACTTTTGACTTTTCAAATGATACATGATTTTATCAGTTTTCATGAGTTGCCAAAACAAATTAAAATAAATTAGGCAGTTTTAAACAAACTATAGGTCAGTTCTAAACAGACTTATAGGCTGAAAGTCTGAAAGCCAGATGTCTGCTAGGCCACACTGCTTGAGAAAGCTCTAAGGGAAGAATTCTTGTCTCTTTCAGTTTCCAATTACCTTGGTGTTTCCTCGCTTGTGCCAACATAACTCTAATTTCTATTCTATCCTAATATGGATTCCACTTTTATTTTATTCATTTATTTATTTTTTAGGAACACAGGTCAAATAAAATTAACTTAATATATCTGCAAAGACATTGTTTATAAGTAATACCACATTTTAAATTTTTAATGGATATAAATTTTTGGAAAACTTTTTTTTTTGTATTTTAGAGGAGGGTTTACAGGGTATTCAGGGTCTTACTACTAGATCAGACTCATACTGATCTGCCTGTTTACAGCCTCCCAAGAGCTGCAATTACTGGCACACGCCACCACATGGAAAACACTATTCAACCCATTACAGATGGGTTCTTGTTTTGTTAGTATATATTTTTACTGTTCAGTTCAAATTTAGCTAGACTGTGCTCAGGGAAACCAGAAAATGATCTGAACATCAATTCTTTCAAACCAACATTTTCATCAATTTTTCCACATATTCTGTGGTTGTGGTGGTGGTTGTTTTATGTTTTGATGGTCCTAGGGTTTGAACACAGGGCCTCAAGTATGTTAGAAAAGCATACCCTAGGCCTCAAGCATACCCTAGCCCCCATATGCTTGCAAACTTTTCAATTCTATTACTAAAATATTCTCCATCTTTATTCAGAAAGTAGTAAGAATGACAGGATACGTATGTTTGAAGTTAGTATTTTGAGAGGGATTAATGGCAATGTACTTTTTACTGTAAAAAATTTTGGATCACCCATGGTAAATAGTATTAACGGTGACTGAACTAACAGCCAATTAAATAAATATTTAGTGTTTAAATAATTAGTATATGTCTCAGTTACTCTTCTCTCATTGCTGGGACAAATACCTGGCACCCAAGATGAAGGAAGAAAAGGTTTATTTAGCTCAGAGTTACTGGAGGTTTCAATCTATATTTAGCTGGCTCCAAGGCAGAACGGCACAATGGCAAAACGCAGAGAACCTTTCATGACAGCAACAAAAAGCAAGAGAGCAAAGGGAGGAGTAGCAGCAGCTCAAGCAGCTGGCCTCTTTTCTCTCACACTGTAATACAATTTACCTGCCCCAGGGCATGTGTAGCACTCACAGCCAGAACCCCAGTGGATCCTGAGTTAATAACAAACTCTAGAAGTCTGCCCCATGACTGCATGAGGCTATGGGGGGACAACTAGACACAAACCATAACAGTATACAATTATTAATCACAATTTAGCCTCCTACTACAATGTAATTACGCTTATTTTTCTTTTAGAAATTTCAGCTTTTCTTGAACAATTACCCGGTTTTTGTGCTAAGTTTCTATGTATCAATTCCTATTTCATCCCTATAGTTTTAAATAAAATTGAAAACTTCTGAATTCAATTATCCCATAAGGCAATGGTGGCGAAACTATGCCATGAATGCTGCAGAAAGTTGTTTGCCCTATCTAAAAGGGTTTGCCATCACTTACAGAGGGTATGCTATGAATCTGAGTTTTCTTGTAGTCCTCAATAGAACTGGTTCTAAGTCTTCAGTGCAACTATCACAAAGGAGGAGTTTCAACTCTTCTCTCTCCTGTGTGTGCCACCCCCAAGTCTGGATGTAGCAGTTTCTTTTATTCCTATAAACACAAAATAAAAAACCTCCCTTGGTTTAGTTAAATAATTTTTCTTCAGAATTCTAAGACATTATTCCTTTGGTTTCCTGTTACACGTTTTGCTTTTTGAAAAGTATGATGTCAGCCTGATTTTCATTTCTCTATAGAGAACCAAGTTTCTTTTTTAGAAGCTTTAAAAATCTTTGCTAACAAGTATTATGAAATATGAAATACTAATGTAACTTGGTATGTATTTTTTATGTAGTCCCTTTTAAATCAAGTAACTCAGATCCTTTCGCTCTGGAATGGACTTCTATACTGGTCCTTTTGACTCCTTCTTTTCAGGGGCCAGCGAGATAGCTCAGCGGACTGAGCTTCGTAGTGAGACCCTGTACCAAATACATTTTTTTAAAAAAGAAAAATGATGCCTTGCTTTCTATTGCCTATAAAACACCTATCTTTGGATGTTGAACTTTTAAGGCAAATCTCAAGGGGTTCATTCCTTTCTCTTCTTTTCCCTTAATATTATTATTATTATTTATTTATTTTTGGGGGGGGTCTTTTTGAGACAGCATCACGCTACGCAGTTCAGGCTGGCCTTGAGCTCACTTTGTAGCCCAGGTTGGTCTCGAATTCACAACAATCCTCCTGCCTCAGCCTCCCATCTTTTCCTTTTTGATTTGCTGTTTTCTAATATTTTTCAGTTTTCCATTCCAACCCTCCTACTGAGATTTTTCTGATATCAAATTTTTAATAGGCTCATGTAACTGCTACACATATCCCTGATCAATTTCCTCAACAGGTTTTCTCTCCTTTAATCTTCTTAGATAAGAATTGTGAGAATGGGCTTTGGTCAAAGTGAACTGACTGCCAAAAGTCTGAGGTAGGAAGAGTACTTTTCCTCATGACAGGAAGTCTAGGAATAGTCCAACTACTCCTGAGGTTGAGGTCCAACTACTCCTGATGAGAGGACTTAGAAGTCATCAGCTTGCAGTCAACTGATCCTAACTTTACTTCAAACATACCTTCCTTACCAAAGGAAGCCCAGAGGGTAAGTTAAAGCTAGTGAGTTCTGGAGACTCTGATGGAGTTCATTTAATCTATAGCCTGTACCCTACCAAATTTTTTCATACCTACCATCTCAGACAGTTTTTGACAGCAGGATCTTGGAGTTATCTGTATCAAATCAACTGCCATTAACATAGACGGACAGTAGCAAAGAGGTAAGAGATTCCTAATATGTGAAGTTTTCATTTATGAACTACATTTTATAAACATACTTCAAATTACTTGGCAGACTCAATGTCAAGTGACAAATGTGCCTATTTTTCTCTCATTTCAAGAGGCATTTAAAAACAGACTTCTGGGTTGGTGAGAAAGCTCAGCAGTGTAAAGCGTTTCCTTACACAAGCTTAGGCAGGTGTGTAGGGCCATGTAGGGGACCGTACCACACTTGCCCTCAGGGCAGGCTTGGCGGGGGCGGCAAAAAAAAAAAAACCAAAAACAACAAACAGACTTCTACACACTTTGCATTGTGGTAAAAATTATCTAGAAGAATAAATGTATATAAAGCATATTTTCATGCTTTTTCCTCACAAGGTTATTGACATGATGCCAAAACTAGAACATAGAACCACTGTTTTGAAACTACAGGAGAGACTGGGTGTGGTGGTACACACCTATAATCCCAGCACTTGGGAAGCTGTAAACAGGAGAATCACTGAATCAAATCTAGTAGTGAGACCCTGAACACCCTGTAGCCCCTTCCCTAAAATAAAATTTAAAAGTTGCAGTGTAACTTATTTCCCATGGTAAAAATAACAATTTTCAAAAATTTCTCAAGCATTTTATATGATTTTGTAAATATTTTCTCTTCTTGGGCTGCAAGGACAGCCAACATTTTGGCCCTAACCTTTCAAGGTCAGTGAAGACTCAGGACACAGGAGAACCTGTACTGTAACATCCTGTAACTCAGTTGTGGCCCAAATTTTCTGATCAAGGAGATTATGGGGGCCAGAGGAATGTGATCAATGATGTAGAGTGTGTCTAAGGAGAGTCACATGGAAAGAAAACATTCTCTCAGGCTTTCACAGAGAGCAAACTGGTCAAGCAATGGCTGTGACTCATCCACATGGCTGACACACACAAAGGATCTACAAACTGTGGTACAGGGTTTCAGGATAAATTCTAAGGGGATTTGACTGACCTTGTCAGATACAAAAGTTACATTTCTTGTTATATAGGTCTTGCTTTATCTTGGTCTTAACTATCCAGCACAAATGTATAAAAACAAGGTATGAAAAGTAAAGCCATATTAATATGCTGAGCTGTAAAAGGCTCAAGTCAACAACTTCTGACAATGCCAGTCCTATGGATAACCCACTTACTATTATGGACTACTGGACTATATTGGATTATTTTGCTGAATTCACGCACCTACAATATTTAAATGGCAATGGAATACCTATCTCTGACAAAACTAAACGAAAAAAGGGGATATAAATGAAGGACCATTTTGTATCTGTATATACAAAATAGGATAGATATACAGCTACTTTCTCTTAATTCAATGAGAAGAGAGATTTGTACTAATAGTGTTTGGACAGGATATCATGTCTGCATCTTATACTATGAATAACCACTACGAAGACAACATTATGCAATGTATTAATTATTGAAACTGTCCTACTGATCGGTTTTGAAACTGTCAAATTTGACAAATTTGAAACTGTCAAACAAACAAATTGCTATTTGTTTCTCAATTAAAAAAAAGTTCTCTTCTTGCATATGTCTAGTACATATACAGGGAAAAATGTTTGCAAAAACAGATTTAAAAAAGAATATAATCTCTTTCTGAAAAGGAGTTAATAAGCCATGCCAGTCACCTGCATTATCTTTCTGAAAGGGTTTCTTCCCCACTGACAAGGAGGCCTTATTCACTGCTCTCTTACTGTAGATCCCTTCCTTATGTTTAATGTTCACAATGGATGGGAGGTCATCATCTCTTGTGCCAAGCACCTGGGTTGGAAAGTCCGGAGCAACAGCATCATTGGATCCTACAGAAAAAAAAAAACGGGTAAATAATATAGTTAGCACAAATAAAGACTGGAAGTTGGGAAAGGCATTTTAAAATTTGCCATGCTGATCATTTATATGAAAAAAGGCACCACAATTGAAGTGCAGCAGGTTTGAACTGTTGAGGAACTCAAGCGCTGAGGAACTATCCATCATAGTTTATTCATATTTTTTATATTATATTATCAGAAGGGGATGCCTGTCAGACTGAGCTACAAGACATGTAAAATAAATGCCAATAAAACAAGACAGAGAAAATGCCATAGAAGAAGATATATGAAGTAGAATATTGACCCCTTCAGAAGGAAGATCATTTCCAGCTCAGGAAGGTTTTTGGAGGAAAGAGATAACTGTTGGAGGGAATAAAAATCAGGCTTTTGGTTTGGAGAAGAATGTTGGGTAGGAAGGCATTTTAGGCAGAAGTTACTTCATAAACAAGCACAAGAGATGTATAAAAACAGTACATACCTTTACTGTGAGCCTGGGTTGTAGGGTACATTACAAAGAATATAAAAAGATATTTTAAAATAACTGTTTGGGAAAAATTCACCAGTGCATGGAATCTCAAGTGGAAGAGTGTAAATTTTATTGTACATGAAATGCAAAATAACTGAAGATTTTTTAACACATGGGTAATAAAATTAGCTACGTTTTAGGAAGATTTATATTCCAATACAAAACAGAAAACACTGAAAGGAGGACTGGGGATATAACTCAGTGGTAGAACATCTGCTTTAGAATATTTGAGGCGCTGGGTTCAATCCCTAGCACTGCAAAAAAAGAAAAAATACTCTAAATGGAAGAAAATATGTCATAAAAAATAAAAGATCTGAAAGTGTACAAATTTCTGTTAAAACATAGTTTAATGTTCCTATATGAACTAAGAGAAACTGATCTGTTATCCATGCCACATCTAATAGGCAAAAGAATATTCCTAGTCAATACAAAAGTTCATCATAATTATATGATTATTTTCTGGAAAATGGACTTCTTCCTAACCCAGGATCCCAAATATATTCACTTCAAGAGCTCTTAATTAATATGTGTATGGTAATAAGATAAGAAAGTACTAGTCTCATTAATATAATATAAATACTGCAAATCAAATCTCAGCACTTGAGTTCCTCAACAGTTCAAACCTGGACTCTCTACAGCCCTAAGTAAACCCACTAACAACCAGTCTATGACTGATGACTAACAAACACACATCACTTGCTGAAACTTTTTTTTTTTTTGACCTTTAGACTTTAACACTGAAGGACCCAGGTAGTTCTTATGTTTAAATGGAAATTAGAAGAAAAATGTCCTTCCCTGCTGGTGGTCATTGTAACAAATCTTTCCAGATGCAAAAGAATACATACCAGGAGCAGCATGCACGGCACATACTGTGTGTATCATCTCTTCTCTTTCAACAGATGACCACATCATGTTCACAGTCAGGTGGAGAACAATAATTAAGTATTTGACAGCAGTGGATGTATAAGCAAGAAAATAAATCTCAGGACAGCTAAGAGCAGCTTGGAAAGAATGCAGACATGCTTGTATGTGTGTGTCACATAGAAAGGTGTACTTATTTTCTTGTATCTACGCACAGTGTAGTATGTATGAGTAGAGAGTTATATTTGGATTAGCATAAGAGTTAATATAACTCTTACAGATCTGGAACCTTGGTGCTCATGTGTAGTTTCATAATAGCATGTATTTATGATGTGACTAATACTACCTAACATGTGTTACTCTATGTATAATCTCAACATTTGTAAATCAATTCTGCCTACATTTGATTGCAGATATCCATATGGATACATAAAAAGATCTCATTTTTAACATATATTTTCAAAGGAAATATTCTTATCATCTTTCCCAAATATGCTTCTTTTTCACTCTCCATCGTAGTACATGGTACTACTCATTACCCAGTTGCTCACTCCAGAAAACTAGAAGTCATTGTTTTTCCACCTTTTTCTCCCTTGCTCTGTATACATTATCACCAAGTGAAGTAGAAACTACTTCATAAAATTAAGTTGACTATTTCTACTTTGTTCTGGCTTACTGATATCACTCCAATATTAGGTGCTGTCATTTCTGGCAATGATCACTGCAACTTCCTTTTAATTGGTAGCTTCATTTATACTCTGACTCTCCCTACCAGAATTCTGACTCTTCATGAATAAATTATTTCTCCACATAGTGAACAGAAGTTTACAAATGTAAATCAAATTAAAATTGGCTACGAGAGGCTGGCTAAATAGCTCAGTGGATTAAAGCACCTGCAAGCAGGCGCAGGGACCAGGGGTTCAATCCCTCAGCCTGCCATTCGGACCCT